GGCATCAGTCTGTAGGATAAACCTACGAGAGAAATCGGCCATGCGTAGAACCAGAGGATTCGTGATAGCAAGTTTCAAATCCTGAAACGCCAGTTGCTGTTCCAACCCCCAAACAAAGGGAGTATCCTTCTTACGAAGGAGGTTAAGCGGGGCGGCGCGTTCCGCAAAGTGTGGAATGAACTTATGAAAAAAATTTACCATTCCTATGAATCGCGTGATTCCTTTAACATCACGCGGAGGTGGGAAATCCTTAATAGACTTCGTCCTATCAGGGTCCACAGAGACACCTGAAGGGGCAATGATGTGACCCAGGAATGATAACTGAGTAGTGGCAAATTTAACCTTAGTAGGATTTACGGTCAATCCGGCCTTGCGCAGCCTGGTAAAGACTTCACGCAAATGGTGGAGATGCTCGTCAAAAGAATCACTATAGATCACCAAGTCATCCAAATAATGGAAGACATATTTAAATTTGATATCAGAGAACACTTGATCCAACAAGCGCGTAAGAACTTGAGCGCCTGTTGCTATGCCAAAGGGAACCCTAGTATACTCATACAAGTTCCAGTCAGTCGCGAACGCCGTGAGGGGCTTCGATCGCTCGGTCAATGGAATTTGATGGTAAGCAGAGTTGAGATCCAGCGAAGTAAACACTTTAGCTGACTTGAACCAATGGAAGCAGGAATGAACATCTGGCAAGGGAACTGACTCAATCTTAATCTTCTTGTTGAGTGCGCGGTAATCAACCACAGGACGAAATTCGCCCTCGCCTTTAGGTACTAGAAATATAGGGCTAGAATATGCAGATGTGGAGGGACGGATAATGCCTTGTTCCAACATACGCTGAATATGGCTTCGCAGCACTTTCATCTTAGGAGGCATAAGCCTATAAGGGGCGAGCTTGACCGGAGATTGGTCAAGCAACTCGATGTCATATTCCAAGAGAGTGGTAAGACCTAGTTTAGGAGTTAACACATCAGTAAATTGATTAATCAGCTGTGAAAGCGAGTCCGACAATGGGGGAGCGAGATGGGACAAATCTGGACCAGTTTCCACAGATGTACAAATTCTGGGCACATGCGTTTCAACATGACGCCGAATCAACGGCAACTTATTAGCCGGGTCAAATTTAAAGTAAGCAAAACCTTCACAAATGTCCATTCATAAGCCAGTCTTACCCAAGAAATCGGATCCCAAAATAACTGGGTAAGCTAAATTCTCCACTATGTAGAACATAAATTTCCACATGTATCTGTCTATCCTGACTTTACACGTAACAGCAGTGTAAACCGGAAATGACTGCCTAGCCGCAGTAACACAATTTACTTTAACAGAAGTTACCTGAACAAATGGGACGGCTTGTTTAAGCCTTTCGTAAGAAGAACCCGACATCAGGCTACGAACTGCACCAGAATCTAACAAAGCCAGTAACAGGCCAAAACCTAATTCAACATGCAGAGTAGGCAACGGATGGGGAATAACTACTTTTTTTCCCATCATGTGAATATGCACACTACGGGAATTAATGCTCACAAAAGCACCGTTACGTACAGGCGCACGAGATGTATCTCGTGTTAGTCAAGAATCGGGGGGATGCCCCCGAGACGTAAATGTAAGAGTAGATTGTAGATTCGTACGACAGTCCCGACGAGTATGTCCTGCTTTCTTACAACGAAAACAGACTACTGAGGCAGCTCGAGATACTGGATTGCCAGAACGACCCGATCGAGCAGAGTTAGACGCTACAGGGTGTGTAGGAAGGTCATTACCTACATTATAACCCTTACTCTCAACATTATGAGCATACACGCACATATTATCCAAATCGTCATAACTATGCGGCCTGTCACTGAACACTAAACAGCTCCTCTGATATGGATGCAATCCATCGAGAATATTGCGGACCACAGCGGACTGATCGATATCCTGACGAAGAACGGCGGCTATCTCTTTAATGTCTGCAACATAGACAGCGAGCGGCTCATCCTTCCTTTGCCGTCGGTAATAGTCGGCGTTTAACAATGGCAACATTGTACGGGGCGGAATAAAGAAAGCTAATACATGTTCGTGAAAAGCATCAAGCGTATCACCAGAATGTATAGCGGCCAAGATCTTGGATGCCAATGGGCCCTTAGCAAATCCATATAGAATTTGCAAAATCTGCGCCGTAGAAACACGGAACACAGGTGCCATAAGTCGCAAACGTACTAAAGCTCGTAGGAACTCAATAAGCTCGGATACAATGAGTCCGTCAGTAACATGAAGACTTTCGAGCATTTTGTGTACAGGATTAGGCAAGTTCGCAAAACAGAGAGAGCCTCCCAAAGTACTTGAATCGTAATTAACCACCGGAGGTACCACCGGGCTAGGGGATAGTGGCTGCTCCTGAGAAGGTAAACACGTACCAGGAGTGAGATTAGAGGCAGTCAAATGCGTTCCGCTCTGAAGTTCCGCCCTATTAAAGTCGGACGGAGCGGCAGCCTGAACCTTAAGAAAGGAAACAGCAGCAGGCTGATCCCCTGAAGCGTGACTCTTCTGCAAGGAATCTACCTGTGCAATCATATACTGCATATATTGGTGTATTTCTTCCTGGAAATTTACCATGTCCGCCCGCACATCTGGTGCGAGTTTGCCCAACTGCAATAGATGACGTAGCCGGGTACTGACATGTCGCAACCGATGGTAACGAGGAAAATCAAGACCAATGGAAGAACAGTCTGTGTTCTCTACCAAATTCTTAATCTGCTAAAAACGATCATGGCAAAATGTTACCACTTTATTAGGGGCCAGAAAGATATCAGAATTAGTACACGCGCCAGGGTTTTCTTCTACTTCGCGTGACTTACGGAAAAGAGATCGCAAATCCGCAACATTTAAACCTTCCGTATTTATACCACGGACCTCCAACTCATATGCTAACTCATCCTTATGCAAACATTCGGGTACGATAATTTGTGGTTCCATAATGCTGCTGACGAAATAGACACGAAACAATTATAATAAGAAGAGAGTCACAACCAGGTCAACAAGTCCCATATAACCTACCCAAGTGCCCTACACAAACAAACCGAACCACCATAGCAGGGCAACCCACGCTAGGACTGCATGCAAACACACTGTGAACACTAACCAGACTCTCAGAGGAAATTACGTTGACCACATAGCCACGCTAACAATGCGTGCTACAAAAGCAACCAACCACTATAACAAGCGACTACGGCCGTCTAAACCACAGTTCCGTCCCACCCTGTTTTCACTCAACCAAACCATGGACGTGGTCAAAACCATGGACATGGACCCAACCACGAGAACCTAACCACGAGAGCGAAACCACGCTCTGCTACCACTTTTCTGAAGCATAGGTACCCTACAGAGGATCCTTCAGGGTGCGTATAGGTTCGAGTGATCACAGGACAGGGCGAGCAGGGGAGAACAAAGAAATCAGCAAGGTGGAAATACCCAAACAGAAATAGCCAAATCAAATATTAACAAAGAATAAATATAATAATTAATAAAGAAAGAATACAAACATAATGCAAATACCTGTATCAGAATGATTGCAGAGTTCGCTGTTCTAAGATAGATTACCATGTAGAGAAATTAATTTGGACGGTCGAGGATGACCTCGACCGGTGGTCCGAAATGAGAACAACCTACCCCATCAATGGTTGGAAAGCCAAGAGCCCTTAGCTCGACTCGTTAGGCCGCTAAGTCGGCTCAGGAGGGGAAGGAGAGACGGGGACAGTAGAGACAGAAGAGGGGAGAAGTGCGCACACAGACCACGGACATGAGCCGACGTCACACTGTTCAGGGGTTGTGCAGAGGGTTGGTAGCCCTCCCACAGAAAACTTTACTCGTAAGTTTCAAAGAAATAGATTTCATGGAAGCTGGAAGAGGCCACTGGCTTAATCCTTTAGCTGAAGAAGGAGAAGACACCACTAACCTTGATACTGCATTGAAACTGTAGGCCGACCAGTAGTTTATCTGCTCTGAAATGCAGATGTGTGCCTGTATCAGAGAACAAGGGAACATAACTGATGTACAAATCTGAGTGTGTAATTGTGTGTATACATAGTGGGACATACATCTGTGCAGGCATGCACATGTGTGCACACACCAGAGTAACTTTAATCATGAACCAGATTCTGACATCTAGATATTTTGCTGTGCACCTACATGCATATGTGAGTGAGAGAGAGGGGGGGAGACAGAATGCATTGTACATTATTTGATATTAATAATAATAGTAAACCCTCATTATAACTGGCCTGGATATAACGGACAGAATCTGGCTGTGTACAGTTGTAAACTTTTAGAGATGTTGGTGCAGTAAGATGGTTTTGTAGTTAGAATACTACTGAAAATGAAAAAGAACCTAAACATGGAAATCCATATAACCACATTGTGTGTTTGTATGTTCACTGTATTGACTATGTATCCTGTAGTATACTTCCATGGATAACCCTTCACTCATTCATGGTGGACATCGGCAATTACAGACACCCTGTTTCAGATATTAGTCTCATATAACAAGGATTTACTGTAGCTCATAATGTACAATGAAAATGACAAAACTGCAGCTATAAGTAGTGCACTGTATGTCTTGCCCAAATTTGAATGTATTCTTCACATTCGTTCTGAAGTATTGAAGATGAGTAACAAAACTGTCATGAACCCACCGTTATAGAGTCTGCTTTTAAAATAATGATCCACAAGAACCCCTGCTCCCACTGCAGTGACTAATTGATGTGAAACGGGTGTTTCCAGGCGGAATGCAACGGATTTTCTCATGCCAGAATTTATGTCAGTAGTATAGTTTCCTTTCCAGTCTAAATAATAGATTGTAATGCTTGTTAATTAGGTGGTTAACTCTCTTGCATAAAATTAAATCCTAGGTATGACTCCAGTGATTAAATGAGGAGATTATTGGCGTTTATATATAATTCATCCTTGCCAGGTCATACTTTTTGTTTAAAGTAGATGTTTTGGGGTTATTTCAGTTGGCAGCTGAATATGATAAAACTAGAGCCAAAGAAATCGAACTCTTGAAGCAACAAGAAAACTTTATACGTAGATCGTGTGGAATTGGAAAGGAGCTAAAAAAGAAGACAGGAGTCTGTGAAGGAACTTAAGACAGAAGACATGCAAGTTAAAGGGTTGTATCAAATTTACTGAACAAACACACATACTCTTTCACAGGTAATAACTTTTGCATGGCAGAACTTAACAACAAGATATGTTAAACTGAAAATCTGTACTGATATCCAAATTAAAAAAAATTGAGATGTTCTTCTGTTAAATTAATTATGTATATATACATGCTTAAATGCTAACTTGTTTATTACAAGTAAATTAAATTGCAAAACTTTTGAGTTGATTTCTCCGTGTCACAGTCCTACCAAAGAAGCGTATTCATATAAGGTCTGACCCAGCAGGTGTTGCAATGCCTGAACTTTATCAGCCATGGGAGACAATTTAAAAAAAAAATTATTTTTGATAACTTTATGTATCCGGGAAATCATAGGAAGAGTGTACTTGCATGTCTGTGTGTACCAGAGGTGGAGTGATGTTAATGTTTCCTTAGGACCTTGGATACGAAGACTGTCTAATACACTGCCTGGCCAGTGTCTTGCATTATAGTGAGATGTGTAGTTAGTAACAGGTGGGTTCATTGTTTTGGGAACAAGATATACACAGAGACAAGATGGATACCTCCATCTCTTTCATACAGAAGGAAGATGCAGTCCCCCACTTTTGTTTGTTGTACATTAAATGCTTGACATTATGTATATACCAGGGTGGGAATACTTTTATCCAAATCTATTTTGGGCACTTACTGTGCCAGCTTGATCAGCATTTCAGACTTAGTCTAAATTCACTCACCTCTCTGTGTAGTGTAATCCCAGGACATATAGAAAGGTTAAACTATCCCCATAACAGGCTGTGGAGGCCAATAGGGTTATGAGGTGTTCAGGCTCCCACTTTCTCTAGACAGTCAGCTCACAGATGGTGGTGAGGTTGTCAGCCTTACATGCTGGCTGCCCTTTACCCCCAAGAAGATTCGTGGTACTCATTTCTGTTAGAGGCTGAATCGAACCCAGGGCCATAGTGTGGCTGGAAGGATTAGGTCAATTCAAAAAAATCCAGTGACCTCACTGGGACTTGAACCCGCGACCTTCCGGCTTGTAGCATAGTCCCTCAACCAACTACGCTTAATTTTATAATATGAAGGCTGAAAATGCCAGAATAGTGGAGCTAGAAGAGACTGCCAACGTATGAACATGGAAGCTGAGCAAGCTGCAGTGTTGAGAAGCATTCCCAGGCAGCAGACAGTGAAGACACAGCAAACTGAGAATGCTCGGTGCATGCCACAGTGAATGGCAAATTGTGTGTATGAGCTGAAGCACTGTAATAACTTGTGATTATGATCTATAAGTGTACAGTAGATCCCATGTCACTAAAGTTGTCCCTGTGCTTAAGTAATTAAGCACTGTGCCATGAAGGTGTATGGGGGAGTCAATGTATAGATCAACATTTTCTTGACCTCTGCACTAGCTGGAGATGACAGTATGTTAAGGGTTAAAATTAAATGTTAAAGTATTAAAAATTTGGATAAATTAAATAAAATTGTTACGAGTATAATTTAGTTGGGATGATTTTGGTGTGCCTGTCATGATAGGTTACATTGTTGTTTCATCAATGTTACATATGTCTTTGGAGATGTGCAGTGACTGATCAGTTGTAAGTAGTTTTGCATTCTGTGGGCATAAAGTAGCAGCATGTTAATGGAATTTTTAGTGACTGAATATGTATGCAGTATGTGACGTATTTTGAAGATTTACTTCTTACAGGTATATTGACATTCTCTTTGTTGTGAATTATTGGTTATTGCAACAATTTTCTGATCAGCCGTGCTTGAAGTATTGGTAGTGAACTGTTGAAAAGTGACTGAAATTAGTGGTTTCTTAGTCCTTGCAGGCAAGTGCTGGGATATTACCTCCATTTGGCCATGACTCCTAACTCCCAACCCCTTCTCTGTTTGGAATATATTAATGATCTTACCATTCAACAATGAGGCAATTCCAGAGGTGTTACGCCATTTGAGAACAAAATTAAACACAGAAATTGTTCTCGAACAGGCTTTAATAAAATTAATGTCGCACTTTAAGAATGAAAATACAAATTGAGATACAGCTTTTCTCATGTTACATTGCTGTGTATTTTTCCCATTACTGAGACAGAAATTGAATACATTTTCTCGCCATTTCACATACAGGAGCAACTCAGAAACATGAGAGTTACCCCATTTCATTTTCAATGACACCAAATCTATTTCAACCAATTTTACTTGTGCATAATCTTATGAAGTAACATGTCTTCTGTGATGTTACATTTTTCCATTTTATCTGTCCATTTATCATGTCTAAACATGAGGTATTGACAGTCTTCATAGACCATTGATATATTTTGTAAATTACTTATAGGATGAACAAACGAAAGAGATACAAGAAGCTATGGCCAGATGTAGAGAGTTCGAAATGCGGAACACTGAAGCTTCCTGCTCATGTGCAAGGCAGATGAAGGTGGGGCTGGTGTGGATATTTTCAAAACTACAGTAATTCCTGATCAAGTATCACCATTAATTCAGAAAGAATTGCAGGAGTTTACAGAATTCCAGGAAAAACATCTGAGCCAGTACTGTGAGAGGTCATCTGTTGATCGAGATAAGGCATCAGAGATCTAACAAACATGCTGTTATGAAAGAGAATTTCTCATCAGTTGTCAAATAGAGGCCTTCAAGGAAGAGAGAGAATACTGGCATTCACAGTAAACTGCATAGCTACACATCTAAAGAAGGAATATCAGGCTTCCCAACTGGAACAGCACCACTATCAGTTCAAAATTCAAGAAGAAAAACAATTACTGGTACATCAAGTAGGGGTATGAGTTCCACAGTATATTGCATAACAGACATTACAGATACACTGAAGAATGACACCGCATCACTGAAAGAGCAGCTGAACCTGGCAACAGAGCAACACGTCGAGGTCAGACAAGATAGAGACTCGTATAGAAGCCACTTCCATAGTAGCTGATACAGAGTGAATGTGAGATCTGTTTGTTCAGCCAGCATAGTAAATGGACCACTTTACTGTCTGATTCTGTTGGCTGTTTACAATGCTTCTCAAATGGGCAGAGTGCCTAAAGTGCTCACTTAGAGAACAAGACAGATGCACAACTCAGTTATCATCCTCCATTAGTTACAAGGAATTCAGACTACAGGCATAGTGACTGAAGAAAATAAAATTGTAATGTAATAATATATTTAATAAACAACAAAATAAGGATGAGGAAGAGACGCTTGAAGAGTGTGCCTAAATATAAATGCATAATATAATAAGAAATGGAAAACAAAATTGATATATGACACATATGTAATTACAGAGTGAATTCATCAGAACCAAATTATCAAAGTGGGCTTACAGAATCAGTCATGAAAGACATAAAATACAGAAATACTATGTGAATGACATATTCACCACAAATATGGCCCCGGAGTGAGGCTGCTGCTAAAAGCAGCCTAATGCTAACCACCCTAAGCCTTTAGCAGAGATAAATACCTAAATAAACAACCCAACAGAAAGAACAGCTCACACTTATGTGACGCAGGCTTAATGTGCCACAATAATGCAACATGGACAACACAAGTATATTTGTGTGTACAAGAAATATACCCAAACATCTTACTTTGCCATTCATATTAAATAAATGAATACAACTTTACTAGTACCATGATTCAGCCACATGACAAAAGCAGCCACTTCTCAAGATGTCAAACTTGAATTTTGATAAGTACAATGAATAACGACACAATTGCAATCAAACCAAAGATAATTTTACAAGTTGTGACTCCAGACAGTCAAGGAGGAGAAAGGGTTCGGAGACAACACAACTATCAAGTACCCTGTTTGCAGAAGACTGAAGGGAAGGGATTGGTTTAAGAGAAGCAAATGAGAGTGGTGTTAATTAGGAGAAAAGAAGACATCATGGAAAACAAATGTAAGATGGGACTGACTGGCACAGCCGCTGAGCTGAGCGGAGCCAACAGAAGGGCTCAACAAGTCATGGAGCAGGATGCAGCAGCAGTGGAAGAACAGTTAAGCCAGATAACACTGGAAGACAGCAAGCTCTGACAAGCCAGGGATGCTCTAATATAGAAGCCACACAAACAGGAGTCCACAGGGGCCATAATGAAGGATAGGGTAGCCCTGAAACCTGACGTAGGGAAAGTTCAAGAGCCAATGAAAGGACACTGCAACACTTGAAGAACAGTTAAACCTTATAAAATTGGAACACAAGAAACCCAGAAAAGATAGAGATGCTCTAATGTTAGAATATTGCTTGAAGCAGGTGAGAGAAATCTGTTTGGAGATGCAGTGGTGTGAAAAGAAAGGAGAGGGAATCAACTGGACAAGTAGAATTAAGCATAAATTAGAAAGCTTGGACATGGGGGACATTTGGGATAATGTACGGAATAATGATAAGAAATTTCAGATGAGAATAAGAAAAGGCGTGTCAGTTAAGTCAAAATATGGAAGCTAAGACAAGATGGAGAATATCATGAACATTCTATATGTTAATGACTAGGAGAAGGAGAAATGTACAGAACTGTGTACAGATGGTACCAGAAGAGGAATAGTATAGTGGAGTACAGGAGTGTGGAGGCTGCTGAGTGGGGGTTAGAAAGAACAACAAATGATATAGCAAAGGAGAAGGAACCACATATTGAGATATGAAGGAGCAAAGATTTTGAGGGATCAGATTATGGACATGAGGTTCATGGATATTGATACAGGTATCGGGATGGTAGGATGCAAGCATAAACATCAGCAGCAGAAAAATGGAATGTATATGATAAAATATTGTCATGTCTTAGTCACTGTACATGTGGTTTGAATTCATAATTGGATTTAGTGGCGACTTACAACTCATAATTATGAGTACAAGTGATCATAGAAGTATCACACACTGCAAATCACTACAACTACAGTGCAGACAAGTCTACTGTTTGTTGTTCATGATGTTCATGCGTCTGTGTCGCGAGTAAACAGGACATCGTCCATGAATAGAGCAACATAAATTCCAGGTTCCGCAGTGGCATCGGTTTTATAATAATGTAAAACATTTGGGCCAGGAAAGGCCTTGAGTCATCCCCGCAGATATTTCGCCATCTACCTCTATTTTAAATTTTATGTTAGTGAGAAAAGAAGCAATGAGTTTAAGGAGACTTGGAAAATTATAATTCTGACAGTTTGTATAGCAGGCCAGATTGCCGCGTTGTGTCGAAGGCATGTTGCTTGGTGGTCAG